CGGAAGAGTTCCTTCTGCCATCCATTTGGCAGCAAGGACCGGAATGGCTCAAGAGGAAGGAATCTTCGTGGCCAATAACAAATATCGCACCACCCGAAGATGCGACCACGGAGCAGAAGGCGGCAAACTGCTTGGTTGCGCAAACATGGGACACCGGTATCCTCGACAATTATTCGTCATGGGGACGAATGCAACGAATCGTCGCGTACTGTCTGAGGTGGAAGAGGACCAACTACAACAAGGGAAGCCTCACCGCCTCGGAGATCAGGAGCGCCCACGACGCAATAATAAGGCTCCTCCAACAGGCACATTTTGCCGACGAACTGCGGCGCCTATCCAAAAGCGATACCGACGTCGGAGGAAAATTGCAGCGCCTAGCTCCCTTCCTGGACAAGGACGGCGTCATGCGAGTCGGAGGCCGATTGAAGCACTCGGCTATCCCGTTCCCACAAAGACACCCCATCATCCTGCCGAAGGCGCAGGTAACCCTACTCATTGTTGAAACCGAGCATCGAGCTCAATTACACGCTGGCGTCCAAAACACGCTACATGCCGTTAGGCGCAGATACTGGCCCATTGACGGACGAAACCAGGTATGGAAGGCGCTGAGACCCTGCATTCGCTGTCTACGAGCCCAACCACCGTCAGTGGATTACGTGATGGGTAATCTACCTGAGGCAAGGGTCACCGAATCTCGACCGTTCACGCACGTCGGCGTGGATTACTGCGGACCGTTCTACATTAAGGAACGAAAACACCGTAACCGCGCGAGAATAAAGGTCTACGTCGCGGTCTTCGTTTGTCTCGCAGTGAAAGCCGTCCACTTAGAACTCGTGAGCGACCTCACCAGCGAAGCCTTCATTGCTGTACTGAAACGCTTCATCGCGCGACGAGGGTTCTGCGTGAGCTTGCACTCGGACAACGGCACGAATTTCGTCGGAGCTAGTAACGAGCTAAAGGAACATCGCGAACTTCTTCGATCAGACGACCACCACCAAAAGGTGAAAACTTTCCTCGCGGAAAGATCCATCGATTGGAAATTTATTCCACCCCGCGCACCGCATTTCGGGGGATTATGGGAGGCGGCCGTGAAGTCGTTCAAACACCACTTGATACGCGTAGTAGGCACTGAT